AGGCAACTTGATTTAATTGACATTTATCACTCCATTGAACACTCCATTGAACATTGAACATGAGAACACTCCATTGAACTACTGCAGAGTATACATTCTTTTCTAGTATACATGAAACGTTTGCCAAGGAATAGCATATCTTGGATCATAAAACAATTCTCAATAAATTTAAAAAGGAGTAAAGTCATACAAAATAAATTCTCTAGCCACAATGGAATTAAATTAGAAATCATATCTGGAAAATCCCCACGTATTTGGAAACACAATAACATACTTCTATATAACCCATGATTCAAAAAAAAAAAAAAAGGAAAATTAGAAAGTATTTAAAACTGATTGAAGGCAAAAACACTCATATTAAAATTTGTGGGATTCAGCTAAAATAGTATGTAGTGAGACATGTATAGCACTAAAAGCCTATATTAAAAAACATGAAAGTTCCTGACTCAATGACATTAGCTTCCACCTTAAGAAACTAGAAAAGAAGAGCCAATGAAACCCAAATGTGAGCAAGAAAGAATAATAGAGAGTGTGGTGGAAATCAGTGAAATAGAGAAAAACAATGAAACCAAAAGCAAGACTTATTAGGGGGAAAAGAAGACAAATTCTAGTATCATGAATGAGAGAGGTGATATCACTATAGAATCTACAGTGCTTAAAAGGATAATAAGGAACAACTTTATGGCAGTAAGTTTCAACAACTTAGCTGAAAGAGGTCAATCTCTTAGAAAATACAACTATTAAAGCACTAAAATGCTCACTCAAAAAAAAAAAAAAAAAAAGAGAGAAAGAATCTGAGTAGCCCTATAGCTAGTAAAGAAATTAAATTCATAGTTAAAAACCTTATCACAAAAAGACTCATGTCCAGATAGCTTTACTGATGAATTCTACCAAACATTTAAGGAAGAAATAATAATTTTACACAAGGTCTTCCAGAAAATAGAAGAGGAGAGACTACTTCTCAAATTATTTTTGAGGCCAGCATTACTCTGATACCAAAACCAGACAAAGATATTACAAGAAAATAAAACTGCAGACCAATATCTTTCATGAACATAGATGTGGATATTAAATATTTTTTCCAGTAAATCAAGCCCAATAATATATAAAAAAGGATAACTCCTCATGATCAAGTATGGTTTATCCCAGGAATGCAAGGTTAGTTTAACATTTGAAAATTAATCAATATAAAGTATTATATTAACAGACCAAACTTACACCATATGATTATCTCCATATGTGTAGAAGAAGCACTTGAGAAAATTCAATATTAATTTGTAATACAAACTGTCAGCAAACTAGAAACAGAAGAGAGCTCTCTATCTCTGAAAAGAGGAATCTGCAAAATTTTACAGCTAATATCATACTTAGTGGTGAATTAATGCTTTCCTTAGGATTAGGAACAAGAAAAATTGTCTGCTCTCACCACTTTTATTCAGCAGCGCACTGGAGGTTCTAGTCGGTGCAATAAAACAAGGAAAAGTAATAAAAGGCATCTAGATTGTAGAAGAAGTAAAATCGTATTTATTTGTAGATAACATGATTGCTTACAAGAAATCCTGTGGAATTCTACTAGAACAGTGAGTTTAGAAGGGTTATAGGATACAAGGTCAATATGCAAAAATAAATTATTATAAATTTTATATAGTAGCTACACACAATCAGAAATGGAAATTTAAATATACAGTTGACAACAGCATCAAAAATGAAATAATTAGGGATAAATCTTACAAAATATATGCAAACTCTGTACCTTAAAAAACTATCAAACACAGCTGAGAAAAATTAAGGAAGAAATAAATAAATGGAGGAGTATATTGTGTGCATGATTTGAAAGCCTTAATATTTTTATTTTTATTTTTCTCCAAATTGATTTATAGATTTGGACAACATAACTCAGCAGGCTATGTTGTAGAAATGGATGAACTGAATCTAAAATTCATCTGGAAATGCAAAGGAGTTAGAATAGCCAAAACAACTTTGAGAAAGAAGAACAATGATTGAAAACTTATACTACCTGACTTAAAAATGTATTATAAAGTTACAGTATTCAAGACAGTATGGTATTGGTGTTAAAATAGGCAAATAGAGCAATGAAACAGAATAGAGATGAAGGGGGATGGCTCTGCCGTGGCACCCTGGTGACCCTGCACATATCCACATAGGCCACCAAGCAAACCAGTACTGAATCTACGTCTGGGCAGAACACCTGGATACTCCTGGGTTGGAAGCTTGTAAGGAGTTGCTATAAGGCCCTTGCCCCCTCGCCTGGCTATGTCCCCTAGGATGCTGCTATAAGACGGTTTCTCAATGCCTTCTGGATCCTGAGGAGGCAGGGAGCTTCCTGCTTCAGCCCCTTCAGAATAGAGATACAGGCTATGAACCTCTCAGTTCAGATCTAGGCATGGCTGCTCAGAAATGGGGTATTCTTCAACTTGCGTTGACGTTATCCAGCCCCTTTTGTCTAGGTGTTATCCTTTTTGGTGTGTGGGATAAAGACCGTGAGGAGCCAACACCACTGGCTACTCTTCCTTTCACTGTTTATGTAATAAAGTGGCTCCTCACGTCTTCACCAGGTGAACCAGTCAAACCTTGCCCTGTTTTGCACATGCGTGACAAGACAGCTCAGAAATAAACTCATGCATATATAGTCCATTCATTTTTGACAAAGGTGCAAAGACCGTTTGGTGGAGAAAGGAAGGGTTTAGATGCACAAATACTTATTTTCGACTAACAGTGCTGGAACTGTCAGATATCCACATGCAAAAATAAATAAATAAATCAAAAGCTTCAATCCATACTTCACATTATATTCAGAAATGAACTCAAAATGGATCACAGACTTAAATGTAAAATATAAAGTTATGAAATTTCTAGAAGAAAATATAAGAGAAAATCTGTATGACCTTGGGTTAGGCAAATATTTTTTTTAGATACCATAACCCAACATAATCCTTAAAAGAGAAAAAATGGATAAACTGGACTCCATAGAAATTAAGAACTTCTGTTCTTCAAAACACATTGCTAAGAGAATAAAATCTAAGCCAGAGACTAGCAGGTAATACCTATCAATCACATATCTCACAAGAGATTCATATATAGAATATCCCAAGAAACCTCAAAATTAAATAAGAAAACAAACAACCCAATTTAAAAAATGGGCAAAAGATTTGAACAGACACTTTACCAAAGAAGATACAGTCATGTACCTTATAACAATGGTTTTAGTCAACAACAGACCACATATACAATAGTGGTCCCATAAGATTTTACTGTACCTTTTCTATGTTTAGATATACAAATACTTCCTATTGTGTTAGAATTCCCTACAGTATTCAGTACAGTAGCATGCTGTCCAGTTTTGCAGCCTGGGAGCTAGAGGCTAAACCATATAGCCAAGGGGGGCAGTGGGCTATGCCATCCTGGTTTGTGTAAATATACTCTATGATGTTTACACAATGATGAAACAACACATTTCTGAGAATGTATCCCCATTGTTAAGCCACAGATGACTGTATGTGGATGGCAAGTAAGTTCATGAAACAATGCTCAACATCACTAGTTACCAGGGAAATGAAAATCAAAACTATAATAAGATATGTCTACACACCTGTTAGAATGTGTACAGTTAAGGCCTGACCATACCACGTATTGGTGAGACCATGAAGCAACTGGAACATGCAGACATCGCTGGTGGGGATGTAAAATGGTACAACTTTGCAAACTAGTTGGGCCATTTCTTAGTTATTATTATTATTATTTTTGAGACAGGGTCTCAACTCTGTCACCCAGGCTGGAGTGCAGTGGCGTGAACAGGACTTACTCCTGTGCTCAAGCGATCCTCCCACCTCAGTCCCCTGAGTAGCTGGGATTACAGGTGCATGCCAACATGCCTGACTAATTTTTGTATTTTTTGTAGAGATGGGGTTTTGCTGTGTTGCCTAGGCTGGTCTTGAACTCCTGGACTCAAGTGATCTGCCTATCTCGGCCTCCCAAAGTTTGGGAATTACTGGCGTGAGCCATCGCATCTAGCCTAACAGTTATGTTCTTAATCATATCATGTGACCTAGCCATTCCAATCCTAGGTATTTATTCAAAAGACATAAAAGCATATGCCCATTCAAAGGCTGGCACACAAATGTGCATGATAACTTTGTAAAAGACCCAGACTGGAAACAATCAAATGTTTCCCAACATATGAATGGATGAGCATACTGTGGTTCATCCATACCACGGACCACTACCCAGGAATAAAAGGAATGAACTATGGATACACACAGCAACATAGATGAATCTCAAAATAATTATGTCGAGCGAGAGAAGCCAGATAAAAGACTGCAGATTCCATTTATACAAAATTCTAGAAAATTCAGACTAAGCCAAGTAATAAAAAGCAGACGCTAGGGATGGAGAATAAGGAAGGGGCCCGTGGGAGGGAGAACCGTGGGCACCGCGAGGCCACAGGGACAATGATAAATATCTGCCCTCCACGGACTGTGGGGTGTTGCACGAGTGTATAATCTGCGGAATTTATCAAATTGTACGCCTTAAACACGTGCGGCTTGCTGAATGTCAATCACACTGGGGTAAAGCTGCTTTTAAAGAGCATTGCTAGAACCTTGTTTCCTTCCTCATTCACAAGACTGGCGGGGGTCCACGTGGCCCTCTGAGTCCCCCCTCTGAACTCAGGTGACCTTTCTTAGGTGGGTCCCCTGGCTGGGTCCCTGAGTGCCCAGTAGCCCCGCCTGCCTGCACTGCTGCCCCTGCGGGGCAGGACATCCAGCAGCTTTGACAGTCGGTGGAGAACCAGCAAGGGCGACGCGGTTTCTGAGGGCCGCACGGGTTCCCAGCGCTAAACGTGGGCGACTTTCCTTAATCTTCCCCTAGAGACAGAAGGTCACGCAATGACAACTCCAAGGACAGGGGCTGGAGCATTCTGACTAACAGAAATGTCAAGATGACACAATGCAAGCCGAGAAACCCCACCACGAGTCCCGTACAAAGACACGTGGCCCCGCTTCTTCTCCGAGCCCCGGAGCACTCGCTGGGAGGGCGCTCTCCAGGGACGGGGGCTGTGGGACCCCCAGACCCCGCGCCCGGGCGCGAACTGG